AAGGAAGGAAGGAAGGAAGGAAGGAAGGAAGGAAGGAAGGAAGGAAGGAAGGAAAGAAAGAAAGAAAGAAAGAGAGAGAGAGGAAAGTCATTCTGATATAAAATAATATGTGTAACAACCAACTGAAAATGCCAAAGTAGCCTCTGGATCTGTTTTTCCTTTGGACTTGTGTCAGGGCTAAACATAAGGAGGAAAAGATTCTTAACATATAGTAACTAAATAATTCCCCTTTTCTTTTCATTCTATCCCCTGATCTTTCTTGTGCTCCTGTGTGCTGTATACAGTGCGTTTGGCGTAGTTATGCAGCTGATGAGAAATCTGTTTCCATTGCCACCTGGAAGCCACACCTGAAGGCCTTGCACACCTGCAGCCCTACCAAGTAGGTATCAGTGCGACAGCTGGTGCTGGAGTTGAGTCATTCCTAGTTTGTTAAACAAACAATATGTGTGCAGGAAAGTCCCAATCTGGGACTTGTTTTACTCTCTGTTGCTTTTAAAGATGTTTAAGCTATTTAACAGCAACTCAACTGTAAAACTACGTGGGAGTGACATCATTCCATACCAACCATAGGCCGTGACCAAAGTCTTAAAGAATATGAATTATATACTGATAATATCTTTTCTAATATCTTCTTTTATAAACAGTATTTCTTAAAAAATAAGGATCACCTGACCCATCACCTAATTTTACAAGTATATTGCTTGGAATTATATATATATATATATATATATATATATATATATATATATATATATTTCTCATCTTTGGAACAGTTTCTGGATAGATGTAAAAGAGGAAGACAAGTTGGAAAGCTGAGGGAGACAAGTGACAGAAAGCAGTGGTCTATCATACGTGATTATCTGGCTTCCCACTTGTAGCTTTGAACTAAAAGTCATTCCAAGATTTGTAAAAACTTAATAATGAGCCAAAGTTTCTAAGTGCATCACCTCGTATGTCGCTCATATACCGCTTTCCTCTCGTAGTTTCCCTGTTTTAAGTGGGGGCGGAAGCGGAGCAGGATCGGTTCAAACACCTGCACTCACCCTATTCCTTTGAACCATCAATCATACCTTTAGTCACTTTTCCCTGTGACCTCGTGTTTCAGCCTTACTTACTGAAAAAACAGCGACTCGACTCGTCCCAAAGGACACAGCAGTCACGGGTGCCATGCATGGAAACTGGGTGTCCTAACACAAATCACCCCAGAGATACTTCATTGTTTCTGTGGTTCAGAATCATTGCTGTCATTATTGTTGTTCTTTGTTAAATCAGTGTAATGTGACAGAAAATGGCCTCTTCCCAAGAATAATATCCAATTCTCAACAAAAAAAATCAGCACTCTGCCTACAATTTTAATATGTATCAGACTCCCTGAAGCCAAGTTCAGAACCTTTACTTTAGAAAGCCTACTTCAGTCAAATTTGTTTATGAGAAGAACAATTTACAATAAGCTAGAGAACAGTTTTACTTAAAATTAACTAGCTTACTGAATGCAAGGAAATGGAATGAAACAGACTAAAACTTCCTTAAATTTACGAAGTGAATTCAGATTGCGGTGATCCTGAGAGAGCACTCATTCATCTGTGCATCCATTCTGCACGTGCTCGCCGAATACTTGCTACGCGAGAGGTTGTATTTCTGAGACTAAGCATGGAACAGGCAGAGAAAAAGCAAAAATAAGTTAAAAATCTCATGGCGCAGGAACCAGACACTCAAAAATGCTAAGGCTAGACGGTGAAAGCAAATATTCTGACACACGAGTAAGTTTTAAGCAGAAATGTAAATAGGAAAGCAAGTTAGGGCTCATGGGGGGGG